TCTCTCTCTCTCTCTCTCTCTCTCTCTCTCTCTCTCTCTCTCTCTCTTCTCTGTGTAGCCCTGGCTGTCCTGGAACTCACTCTGTAGACCAGGCTGGCCACAAACTCAGAAATCCACCTGCCTATGCCTCCCAAGTGCTGGGATTAAAGACATGTGCCACCACTGCCTGGCAAACAATCTCTTGTTTTCCCCTTTCTAGATGATAATCTTTCTAATAATAGACTCTTGGTTTTGATGGGTAGAAACCTAGCTAAAAGTAGCTTATGCACAATAAGGCACTTGCTGGATCATTTAAACAATCAGGATCGGGGATATCAGGGCATGGCCGGTCCTAGGCAGGCAGGGGTTGAGTGGTGTTGCTGCCTTGACTCTACTCTTATCTCCCTTATCAAGCAGACTCCCCAGGAGAGGGGAAGATGACTCCCAGCCGCTCAGGTCCATCTCCTGCCTGCTTGACCACCCTACAGGGCCTCTTTTTTTCAGCTTTTTTGAGATAAGGTTTTGCTCCATCCTGGGTTGGCTTTAAACTCATGCACTCCTCCTGCCACAGACATACTCTCAAGTGCTGGGATTACAGGTACAAACCATGCAGGTAGGTAAATGCATGGGATCAGGAAGATAGCTCAGTGGACAAAGTGCTTGCCATACAAAGTATGAATATAGGAATTTAATCCCCTGGGCCCACATGAAAAAGCAGGTGTTAACGCTGCATACCTATAATCCCAGAACTAGATGAGGGTGGAGACCCGAGGAGTCTTAGGCCTTATGGGCCAGTCAATCTAGCTAAATCAATGAGCTGCAGGCTGAGAAAGAGACGTTTAAAGCATAGGATGGGGAGTGATTCAGGACAACGCTGCGTTTGGACCTCAGGCTTCTACACACTCTTGCATTTACACACAATCGTAAGTAATAACAGGGCCAGACAACACTTGGAAGGATTTATTTATGATATTTATCTGTTGTTTGCAGTATTGAGAATAGAACACAGGAGTTTATCTGTGCTGGGCAAGCACCGGTTTTTCTTTAAAAATAAAATCCTGGGGCTAAAAAGATAGCTCAGTAGTTGGGAGTGCCTGCTGTTCTTGCAGAAGACCCAGGTTCAGTGGCTAAAAACCATTGTAACTCTAGTGCTAGGGGATTCCACTCGATACACAACTGTAACCCCAATACTCAGGAACTAGAGTCAGGTGGATCTGTGAGTCTGAGTTTATCTTGGTCTACACAGTGAGTTCCAGGACAGCCAGGGCTACACAGAAAAACTCTGTCTCAAAAATAAATAGGCTCTGCTCTTGCTCTTCTCATGCTCTTATGCTCTTCTCCCTCTGTCCCCTCTCGACTCCTTCGCCTCCCCCTCTCTCTCCTCGTGCTCATGGACAGCCTTCTCAATCAATCTCTCTCTCTCTGCCTTTCTCTGTCTTCACTACCCCCTCAACTCCCCTCCCCATACCCTAAATAAACTCTATTCTTTACTAAAGAAAAAAGAAAGATAGATAGAGAAAGATAGATAAATGATAGATAGATAGGTAGATAGATAGTTGAGGTTCAAGGATAGCTTCAGTTACGTAGAGAAACCCAAAGCCAACCTGGGCTACTTACATAAGACCCTGTCTCAAAAAAGAAAAATAGTTCAGGGTTGGGTAATATAATGATAATCCTGAACTCACCAGCTGTCTCAGCTACTGGGGAGCCCAAGGCAGAAGGATCATGTGAGGCCAGGAATTTGAGGCCAGCCTAGGTAGCACAGTGTGCCCAGTGGCAACACACCTCAAAAATTGTAGTCAGTGATGAGGTAACTTGGATTCTAGTTTATGACATTTTTCTTTCATTCTTCCATTCTAGACTAGAGTGAGTGGTTTCTGTGCACACAAACATTTTAAGGAGATGAACTAAGGATGCTGTCTGCTGCAGGAAGCCCTTTAAGTTCTTTCTATGGGTCTTAGAATACAGATAAAACTCATTTGTACTGTGAGCCTGCAGGTCCCTGCTTCCCCCGATTGCCTCCTCCACTCTTGTCTCCTTTGCTTGCTTAGCTCCCATGCTTGGGTTTTATTTTCCTTGAGTATTCCTTGTTCCTTTATGCCACAGGGGCTTTCCACATGTTCCCTCTGCCTAGAGCTTTATCTGATCCTTCCCACCCCCTCTTATCCTCTAGATTAGGTTCTGGACAGATTTAGTTCTTGAGAAAAGACTTCATTGGTTAGGCTGTAGTTCCAGGTAACAAGCCGCTCATTTTGTAGGTCAAAGCCTGCTATTATAGCATCTATAACCAAGCAACACCTCTCCTTTTCCTTCAATAGAACCAGCCTGATGGCAGTTTGACTTGTACAGTCATTCGCACAAGGCCTAGGTTTAAAATCTCAAAGATGGGGTGGTTGGTTAGCTCGATCAGTACAATTCTTGGTGCGCAAGGTTGAGGACCTGAGATTGGATCTTCAGCACCCACGAGATACATACAAATGCTGAGGAGATGGAGCTAGGATCCTTGATTAGACCAGCAAGTTTGGGTGTACATGTGAGTTTTAGGTTCAGTGAAAGACAGTCTCAACAACTAACATGAAGACTGACTGAGGAGGACACCTGATGTCAACTATGGCACATGCTGCATGCATATGTGTGTGAGTGCTTGTGTTTCTGTGTGTAAATGTACACCTGGGTGTACACACATACACACACACACACACACACAGAGAGAGAGAGAGAGAGAGAGAGAGAGAGGCTCTACAAAGAGCTAAATGATGAGTTTTAATGCTTTGATATCTTCATCTTGAAGATTTTAATTATTAGGCAAGTGACCCCACATTTTTATTTGTAGTGTCTCCTCAAACATTACTTATCTCACCGTGGTCCCAGTTACTTTATGTTGTTTAACTGTGGTTGAGGACCTTATCTCTAACTATACCCTCACTGCAGAAGAACTGCTCGTCCCTTATGCTCTTGTCCCCAACTCCCACCATAGACTAGATGCTTGCTAACTAATTGCTGAATGAATGGGTAACAAAGATATTTTCAGCATTTGCTTAATTATTCTATGGCAAGGGAGGGTGGATATGGCATTACGTGTGGAGGACAACTTGCAGGAGTCAGTTCTTCCCTACTGTGTAGGTTCCGGAGATTGAACTCAGGTCATCAGGCTGCCCATAAATGCCTTCACACAGTAACCGATTTCAGATTCTTGTTTGTCCCCACCCCCATTTTTATTCCTTTTCTTTTCTTTTTCTTTAGTGTTTGGAATGGAATCCAATACTTCAGACAGGCTGGGCAATACTTTCGTGAGCCTTTGCCTTTCAGTGTTGAATCCTTTGGGTTTTTTTTTGGGGGGGGGTTGCTATTTTTTGAGACAGGGGCGAATGTAGCCTAGCTAGCTGCAAAATCCCTGTGTAATTTAGGATGGCTAAACCAATCCTGCCACCACCTCCCAAATGCTGGGACTACAAGGCCTACCACCATGCCCAGTCCTCACTGGTGAGTTCAAGGACCACTGAGTCATACTCTCAGTCCAGAGAGATTCTTCTAAAAGTTTGGAGTTTGGTTAGGAAAATGAGTGTGCCTCCCACACAGAATCCCATCTCCTCAGAGTCAGGGGCTGGAGAAACTCTTCCCTCCATGTGAGGCTCAGTACCAGGCCTGGGGAGGAGACACCGGTGCGTCACTGTTAAGTGGAGCTAAGCCTGCACCTAGAACAGAAGGGTTGTTTTGGTGTGGACAGGGTAGGCCATTTTCAGGGGAGCAGCAACTGAAAAGGGCTAGCAACTGAAGGCCCTAAGGACAGTGTGAGGAGAATTGGTGGTAATGCAGGTCTAGGGTAACCACAGGAACGATGCAATCAGTGGGGTGGAGAGGACGTCCTCATCTTTATGGTTCCACCTGGTGGGGAAAGGGTGGAGCTGTGTACGTTCTATTGTGGGTATCTCATGAATTATGCATTTGGTTGTCACAAGTCAACTCCTTTCATGCCTGTATTGAGAGGTCTTTAGCAAGCACACACTGACTTTCCAGGGTGCCATAGCGCATTGGACACAGTGAGAGACTACAGGGGCATCGAGCTCACCTACCCTGTGTAGTAATGCTCAGTGAGTATGAAAGAGCCAGAAAAGGAAGGATACTATGAGCCACACAGAGGCTTTAACCTTGTTCCTCCCAGGAATACAGTACACACTTGTAATCCCAACACTTGGAAGACTAATGCAGGAGGATTGCTGAGTTTCAGTCCTTCTTGGGCTACGTAGCAAGATCCTATCTCGAAATGAAAAAAGAAAAAAAGAAAATTGCTTCATCTTAATGATATGACCTAAAAGGTGTGAAACAAGGTGGTGGCAAGGTCAGATTTATGTTGCAGGAAAGCTGCTGCCTCAGAGAACATGGATGAAGGTGGCCAGATGGGAGGCTGACATCTTTGTAGGAGTGTGAAGACAGCCATGCAAGGATTATGGGTTTAACAAAAGCTGGAGGGAGGTGGAAGATGGCTAAGATTTGGGGACTCATTGGTCCAAGGAATATAAGAGAATGGTAAGTTCTGATGATACCTGAGACCGTGTCTTGCCTGTCCCAGAATTGATGTAGAGAACAGTCTTGATATGAGACTGAAGATTTGGTGGCAGGTGGTGTACCTTAAAAGCTAGATGTGGTGGTGCATGCCTGTAATCTTAGTACTTGAGAGGCCGAGGCAATATGATCACCTTGTCTCCAAAGAAAATACGTTTAATTCTAGATGTCTTAACCCAAATTGGCTCTTATCCCCATACAGGAAGGATAAGAAAAACCACACGAACAAGCTTCGAGAGCTGGCCTTGCTGATCCCTGTGACCATTAAGACCAGAAACAAGAAGTACACCAAGGTGTGGACTGAAGGAGAGGCGGCATGGGGGTAGGGGGAAGGCAGGGGCAGGGAAGCAGAGTGTCAGAGCAGTGAGTGGGGGCTTCTGGGAAATTCACACAGACCCTCTCAGTGATGGACTTGAAAATAGGGGTAGTCATGATGCTCTAAACAGGAATTTCTGGGAGTCCATGATCCCATGGGGGATTCTATTTTTAGAAGCCAAGTTCCTCACCCAGGGTCAGCAAGTGCTTTACCACTAAACTATATCCCCAGCCCTGTGGGATTCTTTCAGGATCAGAGGTGGCTTGGGTAGAGCAGGAGCTGGAGATAGTTCAGTCAACTCGTTCTGAAAGCATGAGTACCTGAGTTCTCATCCCAGAACCCACAGAAAACCATGCATCATTAGGTAGGTAGGTGCTTGTATTGGTTAGCCAATCTAGCCTACATCTGCCAGCAAGCTCAGGTCACACTGAGAGACCCTGTTTCTGTTTCAAAACCAAAACAGACCCACAGTTTGTTTTGTCTCCAAACGCCTGAGGAATGACACTGAAGCTGACCTCTGGCCTCTACACGTGTGTGCACACCCACATGAGCACACACATACAAACACAGAAAGAGGCAGAGGGAACTAACTGGGAGTGGAGTTCACAGTAGAGCGTAGAGGCAGAGGTCACACAGCTGCAGCCGGAGACTCTTCTGTCTTTTTCAGCCCAGAGTTTCTCAGTTAAGAACAACAAAGATGTGGGCTGGAGAGATGGCTCAGTGGTTAAGATCACTGACTGCTCTTCCAAAGGTCCTGAGTTCAATCCCCAGCAACCACATGGTGGCTCACAACCATCTGTAATGGGGTCTGATGCCCTCTTCTGGTGTGTCTGAAGACCGCTGCAGTGCACTCACATAAATAAAATAAATCTAAAAAAAAAAAAAAAAAAAAAAAAACAGGAAAGATAACTCCTGCTCCTAAGTGCTCCTAAGAGCCTGGCCTGTGCAAGGCTCTAGAGGAAAGATCAAAAAGGTGCAGAGGGAAGACAGAAAGTGTGGCCTAGTGGTACATGTACTTCATTCTAGCATCCGGGAGGCTGAGGCAGGAGAATTGCAAGCGCAAGGCCTGCCTGGGCTACAGAGTGAGTTTAAAACAGCATGGGCAACTTTTTAAGCCTTGTTTTAAAATAAAATATAAACAGAGGACTGGGGATGGTAGCTCAGTGGTAGATAACTTGCCTTGGACACACAAGACCCTCTTCTACTCTGTTCTCATGGTCCTTTCCCCCTTTGACCCTTCTGCCTCCCTCTTGCTTACAAAGATCATCATGATCACCTTGAGCTCATGTGGATAATTCAAGTAATCTCTCCATCTCCAGGTCCTTAGCTCAGTGACATCTGTACAGCAGCTCCCTTACCATATAAGGCAGCCTATTCATAGGCATGGGACTAGGATGTGGCTGCCTTTGGACCTGGGATGCTGACTATGGGGAAATTCTTCCATGTCCTCAAGCATTTGTATATTTAGTATGTATAGGTGATGTCACAGGATCCTGGGAAGCCAGAGAAGAGAAGGACATAGTTCCTGCCCTCAAGGAATGAGTCTAGCATTTCATAACTGACAAGATGTCCACCTCCTTTGGAATTATCTCTAGATCTGTCTAGGGAGGCAGAATCTCTGAGGCAGGCGAATCTCTGAGTTTAAGGCCAGCCTGGTCTAGAGTGAGTTTCAGGACAGACAGCGTTATGTAATAGACCTGTCTCAAAAAAATAAAAAGAAAAAGAATTTCTTTTGTTTTTAAGACAGGATTTCTCTGTGTAGTTCTGGCTGGAACCCAGAGATCTGTTTGCTTCTGCCTCCTACTTCTGGAATTAAAGGTGTGCATCTCCACACCTGGCAACATGCTTACTTAAAAAATTATATCTGTTTATTTTATGTGTAAAAATGTTTGCCTGAATGTACACATGTATACCATGTGCATGCCTGGTGCCTATAAAGGTCAGATCCCCCGGAATTAGAGTTACAGGGAGTTATGAATCCCCATGTCAGTGCTGGGAACTGCTCTTAACTGCTGAACTGACTTTTCAGCCCTGGACATGCTCACCCTTTAGTTTAAGAAATTCATGAAGAAGACTGGATGTGGTAGTGCACACCTTTAATTCCAGCAGTCAAAGGCAGAGGCAGGTGAATCTTTTTGAGATCAAAGCTATCCTGGTCTACATAGACAGCCAAAGCTACATATTAAGACCCTGTTCAAAGACAATACAACAACAAAAATCCATGCATTTAAAAACAAAACAAAAAGGAAGAAATTCCTGAAGGAATAGATTGTTTGTAAATACCCAAATGGAAGTGGGAAGGAGGGATGCGGGCAGAGTGAGAGTAAGGATGAGAAAGAATGCATCATCCCAAAGGCCTGTGCCTTCAGTCACCCAGTCACTCTGTGTTCAGCATGTCTGTTGACTGAAATCTCTCTGTTGTTAACAGTTTTAAGACCTATTATAACTTGAGATGGTCTCTGGGGTTACAACGTCCAGTTGTAGCTGCCAGGTCGTGTTCCTAAAGCATCAAGACTGAGCCTTCTAGCTGGGTATGGAGCTCATATCTTGTAATTCCAGCACTTGGGAGGCTGAAGCAGGAGAATCACCAGTTACAGGCCAGCTGGAGGTACACAGTAAGACATTTTCTCAAAACCAAACCAAACCAAATAACCAGAAGCAGTCTTCTATTTTGAAATCTGATGGGAATCTAACCACCTTTGCATGGAACAATTGTATATATCTCTTCACAGTCACAGGGCTTCATTGTAACTGAGTTCCAAGCCTGGTGTTAGATATGCCAATCTAAGAAAGACAACTGCTCAGTGCTCCTGACAGCTTTCTTCTCTTTCAATTTCTTAAGACCCCCTAGAAGATAATCTCAAGCCTTCTAAAAAATGACTAAGCCTTCTAAAAAATTATGTGTGTGCTTGTGTTCAGGAGGTGTCAAGGGTATTCTCTCTCAGTCTGTCTTTTGACTCTTTCTCTTTATATGGGGTCTTGGTATGTAGCCAGTATTGTCCTAGAATTTACAATTCTCCTGTGTCAGCTTCTTGAGTACCGGTTTACAGGTGTGCTACAAAAATGACTGGCTGGTAATTTGGAATGATTTTTGAGTTATTTAATGTTTGCTGTCCTTGCTGAACTGTGTGTCCATGAAGGCACATTGCCTGTACTGCTTTTAGCTTTGTGTCTCTAGTAGCAGTTCAGGAAGTATTTAGTGGTAGTTGGGGTAGATGATGTCTGGCCACAGCTAGGAGCACCCTGTTGAGTGCTGTGAGAAATCTGCTTCTTTAAAAGCCCCCAGCTGAGCCACCTCAACATTCTCTGCCTTTGAAATACAGAAATGAGTTAGCTAAAGTCATGATTCAACAAGCTCAAGGTCAAAGGGAGAGAAAAACGTGGTAACAGATAACAAAGCACAGTGGCAAATGTGGAGGTGGAAAGAAGTCTAGGGTGTTTCAGAGTGCTGGGATATTGGAAGCTGATCCAGCCTGGATCAGATAGTCAGAAGAGGAGGTGGCCATGCTGAAGCTCAGAGGAGGAGTAGGCAGGTGAAGGGGCTTATGGGGAGAAGAGGAGGGCCAGACAGGGAATTAAGTATAAGCAAAAGGCCAGAAGCCGAACAGTGTATGCTAATAACTGGGACCAGGAGGCTAGCAACCCTGATCTCCAGCTCTGCTTCCGTAGTTCTCCAAACCCCATTGTGTTCAGCCTCAGTCTTCAGCTGGCTCTCTTAGACAAGCTAGGGGGTAGACAGCAGAATGGGTGAAGCTCTGCCAGATGCTGCATTGCTGGTTATGTGTGGAGAGTGGGGTTTGAGACCTCCTGTCTGTTCCCCAGGAGCCTCACACTGTCCTGGGCCCTGACCCTTGTGCAGTCCAAGGTCTTACAGTGTTCATCCTAGGCTGGCTTCCAACTCATGATCCTGCCACCTCTGCCTCTGGAGGAGCCAGGATGACAGGTGGGCAATGTGTCCAACTCTCAACCCTGTCTCTGTACAGAAGGAGATCCTGCTGCGTGTCCTGCACTACATCCAGTACCTCCAGAGAAACATTGACATGGCCAAGGCCTTGCTCAAGCTCCACAGCAGCAATGGCAAAGGTGGATTTGTGGGTAAGCAGTTCCACCTCCAATGCCTTTATACCACATTTTCCTGACTGTCAGGAAAACCAATTGGCTATCTCCCCTTCCTGGGGAAGGGGACTAGTCAGAGAGGTGTGTAGGAGAGCCAGACGTAATGGTTCACATCTGTTACTCCAGCATTCAAAGGCTGTGGCAGGAAGACTGCATTGAGTTCAAGGTCAGCCTAGGCTACACAGTGAGTTCCAGCCCAGTCTAATGTATAGAGCAAGACACAGTCTCAATGAGGTAAAGCAAAATACAGACACTGTGTTTTGGAGTTTGGAGGAGGAAGCCTGAAAGGTTGGCCTTCAAGGACAGCATAAGGGAACCCTGCCAGACTGCAGAACCACCCTGAGCAAGAGCACGTGGGTGTGAGGAGACGCAGAGCGTTTATGGACAGGCAAGCAGTAGATGTGACTAGAGGAGATGTTGCAGTGAGCGGGTTGATGCCCTTCCCCAGCCAGATCCTGATTCAGTCTGCTGTGACCATAGCATCTCAGGCTTCAGTCCTAAAATCTGTAATCTGGGACCCCACCAGCACTTTCCTTCTGTGTATGTCATGAGAATCAGAGATGTTAATACAAACAATATGGGGGCTGCAGCACACAGCTACCCAGCACTGTACCGTGACTGGTGTGAAACACTCAGACAGGTAGAAGCTATGGGCACAGAGGCTGGAGCAGAGAGATGAGGTCTGTAGGCAAAGCAGACGGGTGGACACAAGAATTATTAGAAGATTCAACCAGGGAACATTCTGCACGTTAATTTGCTTTTGCTTTTATTTTTTTCCTTATTTTATTTTATTTTTGAGGAAGCGTCCTACCATATAGCCCAGACTGGTGTCAGACTTGCAGTAACCTTTCTGCCTTAGCCCTTTAAGTGCCGCCTGCCCTGTCCTTTGACTTCTTGGCTGTGCAGCAATAGACCCCAGTTTCCTTGTTGGTAAAGTCTGCCTGAAAACCTTCCCTCCCACCCAGGGTAGGAAAGCCTTGTCTGGGAGGAGAAGGATATGCAAGACCAGGAGTGGGGTCTGATCTGTGCCCTCTCCACTCCCAGGGCCAGGTTGGAACCCATCCGCTGGCCAGACACAGCGGCGACACTCTACCCCCTCCAGCTCTCAGAAGTCAAGCCTTTGGAGCACCTCTTCCAAACCTCAAAAGAAGAAGTTTACCCAAGTGTCAGGTATGTGTGGTCTTTGGAAGCACAGGGAATGGCTGTTATAGAGTAGGCTCTTTCTCTAGAAACACACTGGGTCAGACCTGGCCAGTCTATACCTGAGTCCACTCCCAGGCCTTCATGGGCTTTCATTTCTCCCTCACTGGGACCGGCAGCAATCCAGTCCCTCTCAAAGCTATAGAAAAGCCTGAGTAGACACTGCCAAGCAGTGCTTATGTCAGAAGCACTGGCAAGGCCCAGGTAGGATGCTGCTGTCATCATTTGTTTCCTTTGAGCTAGGGCATAGGGAGGTAGGGTGGTAGCAGGGTCGGGATGTAGAGGCTGAGAGGCCTGGTTCTAGCCCAGCCTCACCACACCCTCGCTTCCCAACCTCTTGAGGCCCTCAGTGCTCATACCTGTGAAATGGGGCTATGGCCTGCCTAACCACTGGTCTCTAGTCACAGCTGTACACTGCAATTATTTGAGGTACTTAGAAACTTCCTAAGTGTTTGGAAGTGGCCTGGTGTGGCATGTCACACCAACTGCATTTTGCTGTTAAAGCTCAGAGTTATGTGCACAGAGTTGGCTCAGTGAGCTCTATGTGAAGATCTGGGCAAACCTGGGATGCTGGAGTGCCAGGACAAGCAATGCTCTGGAATGTGTCATCCCAGAGCAGAACTCCCTATCTGAGCCAAATTCTGAGGTATTATCGTGCCTCTACCAAGCCCCTGACTCCTGTCTCTATTCTCAGAGCGCCCAGCCTGGCCCTATAAGCCTCGACGCTCTCTAGCTCTGGACCAGGCTGAAAATCCTATCACCGTACACCCAGGCCTAAAGGAAGAAAATGAGGAAGATGCCACCTATCTGGGCGACCTCAGCCCTAGCACCTACCCCACAACTGAACCGTCCATGTCTGAAGGCGATGGACAAGGGGCCCAGCTGGTGTTCTTGGACATGGCTCAGAACATTGTTGCCTATGACATCACAAGTTGGTGCCTTACCTTAGAAAGAAGTTCCTTTTTTATTTGCATGTGTCCTTTCTCTACCCCAACTTACCTGTGCATGTGCGTGTGAATCTGTGCTCTCTCTCTCTCTCACAGACTCTGCTCTGGACAGTCTTACCACCTAGGCATGGCTCACAATATGGGATGACACTGCCTCTCACATCATGGGCTTTCATTCCCAGCTTTCCTTTCTCTGTAAGAGAGGGACAAGACTGGGGTCACCTTTGTGTATACACCTCAGGTCTCAAATCTTGCGATGGGGGGCTTCTCTGAAGAAGCCAGACTGTCCCTTGTCCCTGTCACTGTATCAGAGGAGAGAAGGGGTTGAAATGCCTCAAAAGAACAGGAGAGCAGGCAGAAATGTGAGTCCTGGCCTCGAACCTGCTCTAAGGCTGTCAAATGCCCAGTCATGTTCCCCTGTTGTTCATGCATCCCCTCTAGTACAGGCCATGAGTTATTGGTGCTTGTGACACAGTAGTGACTAAATTCTCATTCCAGTGATGGAATTGCCCACTTTTCCAGGGCCATCCAGACTTGCTGGGCAGTGCTAGAATGCCCTGGTTCCAGAAGAGGCATCATCTTCCTGCTAGCTATGTGACTTGGGGCTAAACATGCCATTTCACATGACAGTGACTGGGCTAACCCATCGGCCTAATGGTGCTGTACATCAGTAAAAGACTTACAGGGATGGGGACAGGGCCTGGACTCTTGCATGCCATCATGAGATCTTGTTGTCATGGCATTGTTATTCCATGTTAAAGATCTGATCTGCCAGCAGCTCTGATAGAGGTATGAGTCAACATCGGGGTGACTCGTGCACTGCAGCTTCACCCAGGCACCATGCCTGGTCCCTCTCCTTCCCCCTGCCTTGGAGCCCTGGAATCTGGCCCATATTCAGGCATAGTTAAGTTACTCTGACACCCCTTCCTCCAGGTGATCATGCTATAGAAGTCCAGGATGGAGAGCCTAATGCTGACATCAAGGTTCAGAGGTCCTATTTTCTCACCAGGGCACAGCCCTGTGTCAGGTAAGAAAACCCCAGGGTGCCAATATCAGCGGACTATGAGAAATGGCTTTATATTCTCTGCCAGAGCTCCGTGAATGGTGCTGTGGGCCCAACTGCATGCTGGCTGGTGCAGGCTCCCAGGAAGGTCTGGCTTCTCACCTTCTAAACTGGTGGTTGTCACCTGCTGATCTTGCATGCCTCTCTTTCCCTCCCAGCCTGTTCTCATCCATTGAGTGCGTCTCTAATACAGACTTTGCCTGATCAGTGGGGCTTGAAAGCCCCTGACCCAAGGTAGAACCCAAACCTCTTCCTTGGCATTAGAGAATGTGACCCTGTCTGTCTCACCATGTCAGCCTTCTCTTGCTTTTACCACCAACCTTCCACTAAACAGCCTAAATGTTCTCTAGTCCCCACACAGCCTGCTCTGAGCAAGCTGTCCCTCTATTTAGAGTATCTGCCTCTCTGATTTACTTGGGAAACTACCCTCTCTCCTACTTGCCCTCTTGTCTTCCCCAGACTCTTGCCCTCCGGCTCCCTTCTGTTATCAGCATCTGTTTACCAGCTCATTTCCCACACAAGACTTGAAGCTCCTTGAGGGCAGAAGCCTAGTTGATTGAATTCCCTGGGATTTCATGCAGTTAGCCATGTGAGCTCGGTTCAGGGCTCTGTGTCTTCCTCTGATTCCAATTCTTGCAGGCAGAAGCTATTCTTGTGTACTTCCAGTGAGGCAGACAAAGAAGCCCCAGACACTGACCCCTGGCTTCCTGTTTGGACCTCCGAGGACAGCCCCAATGGTGATTACAAGTCCTCTTCTTGTAGGATTTGAGCCTTCTGAACTTTCCTCGCCAGAGGATTTCTATGGCAGGAAAAGCAGGAAGAAGGCTGGGGATCTGCTAAGCACAGGGTTGGAAAACACTATGCCTAGCATCATTTTGCCTCTGGTTGCTATGCTAGGCATTGTTAATCAATCCCTGCTTTTCCTTGAGCCTGCCACTGCAGAACCTTTTAAACACGGAGCTATGGGTCACTACAGTCAATCTACTGGCCCTGGCACACTGTGATGATTTTTCCTTTTTTGTTGATGTGTTGCCAGGCAATCTGCCTTTTAGTTTCCTATACCACCTCAACTCCAAATGGCAGTCTCCTTTCCCCAGTGTCTGACACTATCTCTCCAAAGCTTGCTGCTGTATTGGGGGTTGACCACATACCTGTGTGCCATGATCCTTTGCAGAGAACCCACTGGCTTTGGAGTCTTCCCAGATCAATACCTGGCATGTGGCAAACTACCTGAATGAGATCTTAGGAGTCAGCTCTTCTCTCTTCAGCTCCCCAAGCAAAATCCTGCCGGATCATGTCCTGGAGGACGGCACCTACTTTCTGACTGAAGGTGGGCTACCAGAGTGGCAGGAGCCTCATTCATTCATAAAACATGGGGACACCCACCCACCAAAAATACTTGGGTCTAAGTTGAACCCAGTGGATTCCCAGAGGGGCTTGAGGGGCCTACAGCTCCTCACAACACAGGGACTACTAGGCCATGTAGTGAGGGGGAGGCTCCAAAAAGCTGTCACTCTACCTTCAGCTGGCCTATGAGTGAGACTTGGACACAGGCTAGGAGATTCCAAAGGGAGACTGTGGAAAAGCAGGGCAGGGGCTATCCAGGTGCAGTCAGAAAGCCTAGTCCTGCCAGTGTTCTGCTCACAGGTCTCTTGGAGTCTTCACCTGCTGCCTGTGAAGTGGAGGCTGCACAAGAGAAGGTAGGCTCTGTCTTCCTGCCTTGTCTTTCTCACTGTGTATCCCACAACTTCATCTTCTCCAGAGTTACCACTTCTGTTCTCACCACCCACCTTTGAGCTCACTGTTGCCCATGAGGGGCCTGGGAAAGGCCTGACTAAAGTCACAGCTTCTCCTCAAGCAGGCTGGGGTGGGTGTGGTGGGGGCAGGGGGCGTGGCGGAGGGTTCTCTCACCTTCCATGGTTTACTCAGTGTCTGTGTGTTTGACACTGGGTTTCTTGGATCCCAGGCTGGCATCAAACTCTCAATCCTCCTGCCTCAGCCTTCAGAGAGCTTGGATTACAGGAGTGTACCAATTTAGCTGGGCAAATAAGTCTCAATTCTCTGAGCATGGAGTTTACCCACAGTGGGTAGTTGTACCTTAGTCTTCATGGTGCCTGAAACTCATAAAGACAGAATCCACTGGTGTCATCCAGCTTTGTTTTGGCTTCCAGCTTAGCCATAGGAGGAAGCAAGAGAGAGGGAGAACTAACCAGCGGTTACGACTGTGCAGATGGGTGGGGGAACCTCTGTCTTCCAGCTAAGACACTCTGCTCTAGTCCCAGTTTCCTGATTGATGCCCAAGGCCCTTCCTTGGGACATTAGAGCTAAGGTTCCTGAGTTTCCCAGGGTGTAGAGACAGACGAGGGCATCTGACCTAATTGTCTCTCATGTTGTGCATATCCTGTTGTCAGTGTCTTCTTCCTCTTCATCTGATCCAAGAAGTATCCTCTGAAGGCCCCACAGGCCCACCTAACTTCCAATCCTCTATCTCACTGGACCACTGCTACCTGTCGCTGAGTGAGAATGTCAAGGTGCTGTCCAACTGTGGCTCCAGCTCAGAGTCCACAGACACAGAGTCCCTGTGGGGACAGGAGGAGGTGAGAGGGGTGGCCACCTACCCAAGGAGGACAGGGGTCTTCTCCCTTGCTCAGCTTTCTGCCCTGCAGCAGGTCAACCCTGAGGGATTGCAGACCTCGAGTGATGAAGACAGAGACTACACATGGACTCCTACCCGGCGATCTTCTGGCCTGCCAGTAGCCAGCAAAAAGATCAAGAAGGTCCAGGCGAGCCAAGGCCCCATGAAGCCCAAAGACAGCAGGAAAGCCTGCCCTGGCCAGGTGAAGAAGAAGTGTGTTAATGGCTTCATCATGTTCTGCAGGATGAACAGGAAGCAGTACATCCGGTGGGTGAGGGTACCCAGGTTTTTAAAGGTATAAAGGGCTTACCATCCCCATGTGCATCCCAAGACCATGTGGCCCTACCACTGAGCCTTCCCATCCTATGCAGCAGATTCAATGCCAACTTGAGATATCAGGGAAAAGGAAATTAATTTGCCTTTGTCACCTTCAAGAAAACCACCATCAGGAGGGGTTGAATCTGGGCTGAATCAGTCCTGCCTCTCTTGAACTGTCACCTCCTGCATGCTAGACCACACAGGTAGCAGGTTGTCCCCAGGAGGTCCAGGATCAGTCCTGCCAGATGCCCTAGAAGTCTCATTTCTGTGGGGTTGACTTAGGTCAGGTGTCAGCCCTGGACCTGTCACTGTAGGATGAGACCAGCAACAGGAGCTGGTTGCCTTCTCTGGAAGAATGGGTTTGGGGGTGTGGGTGTGCTGGAGCCTGTGAAGTGGTGGCTGCAGGTCATTTATGCTTTGGGGGACATATGTGTGCCTTCCTTGCATCAATCTAGAGTGTAGGGTACTGGAAAGCTGGTGGGAGAGGAACAATGGCTAATGATCATGGTGTGGCCATTGTGACGTCCTCCTTCCTGTACCAGAGCCTGTCCTGGAACTGCATCCACAGCTGCCACCAAGGATCTGGCTCAACTGTGGCGAGGGATGACTCTGGAGGAAAAGAAACCATACTGGTGAGAAGTGCCTTCTAGAAGGCATGGGAAGATTGTGGGCCCCAGCCTGTGGCCCTCATCCCTCACTCAGAACCCCATGACTTTGCTAACAGGTTGGGGCTTAGCTGGGCTGAGGACTTGTGAAACAAATTCCTTTTTCTTTGTATATATGTGGTGCATGCTCATGCATGCAGAGGCCAGAACAGGGCATCAGATTGCCTTTCTTTTGCTTTTTACCTCATTTGCCTTGAAGCAAGGCCTCCAGTGGAATGGGAAACTGGCCTTTACAGCCAGATAACTAGACAGTGAGTTCTCGGGATCCACCTGCCTTTGCTCCCAGTGCTCCAAAGCAGGCGCACACAGCCAGGCCCAGTTCTTCACATGGGTACTGGTGACTCAAACTCTCAGCCTAGAGCACACATTCTTATTCACTGAGTATCTCCCCAGGCTCTGGGTCACAAGTTTTACAACTTGGAAGGTTACAGGTAGAGTGCCATCTGCAGTGGTAAGAATGGGCTTTCCTGGGTCTTGGACCTGTTGCCTCCATTTCTGCTTTGTCACACAGAACATCTCAGCTATTTTCCTGTTGCTTGGCCTCTTCTATCTCTTGACTTATTCATCTTTCCCAAATTCTGACCTCTCCATCAGCATTAAGGGCTCACCTTTGCTCATTTCCAGATGAGCCAAACCCCTCAGAGCTGTGTGATGAGCACCTGGCAGGGCCCAATCTAGATTATTAGCCCCTAGAGGCCTCAGTGGGACCAAAGAGAGTTCTGACTCCCTCAAGACCAAGATTGGTCACTGCTGGGGGCAGAGAACTAGTGGGGTAACCTAGGAGCCGTGTGTGAGGAACCTCCCTCTGTCTCCAGCACTAAGGCACGCAGGTTCAGCCGCCAGCACAACCGCATTGTGAAGCAGGAGAGCTCCAGCAGTGAGGACGACGATGGGGAGACCCCTAAGCCCTTCTACCAGCTGCTGGCCGAGAAGGCCCAGGTGTCTTTGGGCCTCACCTCACTGCCCACCTCTTAGAGCCAGTGAGGGGGGCAGCCCCTGCTGGGCTCTGCCACCTGCTTAGCTCCCAGGTCCTCTAACATTTGCTTCCCCTGGGCCTCACACCCACTGCTGTGGGCCCCCTGCCCAGTCCCCCAGCTTTAGCACCAGAGAGGAAATGTATTTACTGGTCCAAGGCTCTGCCTTGTGTACGGCCCCACCCTCTAGCCTGTCCTACATCTGTTCTTATAGGATGGGTGCCCTAGATGAAATGCAGACCTTCCCTCTGCCCCAACCACATGGTCTCAACCCCGATCTCCCTGCTCTGTGTAAGATGAAGTGAAACCCTTTTTACCAACAGAGGGAGAAGGAATGTTGTGTCCAGGATCTCTTGGCCATGCGTGGGCTTTCCACATATCAAATCCAGAAGCCTTTTTGCTTCTGTACTTTGAAAACCCCACAGAGCCTACAGGTCTGAACTCAAACCCTTTACCTCAGAAATTCAGTCTTGGGATGTAGTTACCCATGTTTATAATTCCAACATTCAGGAAGCTGAGGCAGGAAGATGAGATCTGAGACCAGCCTGGGCTATATAGAACATGATCCCCATCTCAAAAAGAACCCAAACAAGAAAAACAAGCCCCAGCCTCTGGCTGGGCTTTGTCCCCAGTTCTCTCTTGGGTAGGTTGTTTGGCAGGTAACCCTTACCCTCAATAGCTCTGTTGTCTGTTAACTTGACTTTAATTGAAATGGAGGCATAACATGTCCTAGAAAAATAAAGATTTACAATACAAACTAGACAAAGGGGCCAGGGTTGCCCCAGGGGACAGGGAAATCTTTGGTCTGGGGCTGGATCCTGGGGCTCAAGTCCAGGGAAGCAGGGGAAGGGCCCTCTGTACCCATCAGACCCTCCTCAACAGGAAGGGCTGTCTCTGGGCCACCCTGGTCTCAGGAAATTTTGGGAACTGGGTATCAGTGGGGCTATTAATAGTGTTATAGAGAGGGTGCTGGCTAGAAATCAGCCACTTGGCAGGGCCTTCTCACACTAGTACTAGGTAGAGGAGGGCAAAGCCCAAGTCAAGACCTCTAGTGCCCACACACACTGGGCAAGCAGAGCAAGGAGAGGGCTGTAACAAGATCTGCCGTCAGGAGAGGGACAGTGCCCTGACCTGTGGTAGTCCCTCTGGCTCCTCCAGGGCTTGTAGCTCATCCAGGTGGGAGAGCTGTAGTGTAGGACTTCACCTAGCACCTTGACACCATTGTCAGAAGTGGTTAAATCCAGGCAGTCACAGTTCCAAGGGCTCCTCCACAGGCACCGACTGCAGCTGCGTCAGGACCTTGGCCTCGGCGTCTAGCCCCTCATCAACCTCAGTCCCTGCTGTGGCCCCCAAGAGCAGCCCCTGGGGGTCGGGGTCTGGCAGCCTCAGCACAGTGTGAGTGGCCTGTGTCCCCAGCCCCTCTACTCCTGTGCTCAGTTCCAGCCCTGCTGGCCAGACGGGCACAGCTGCAGGTGACAGCATCAGACCCTCGGGTAGGGGTGCTGGGAAGCTGGAAAGCAGGCCAGAGGAGTCCGGGGAGAAAGGCAGGCTGGTGGCAGAGGTGACAGCAGGAGCAGGTGGCAGTGGCTGAGTAGAGATTGGCCCCAGAGTGTGACCCTCTGGGAGGGTGGGGCTGGGGCCCACTGGGAGGGCTCCTTCGGGCACTGTGATAGCTGGCTCTTGCTTCAAGGGCAGGGCTAGACTGGGGGCAGGAGGCAGGACCTGGGAGACGAGCATGCTGGTGGGGAAGGTGGCAGTGAGGATGATCTTGCCCTGCTGCACAGCTACCCCAGTGACAATGGGGCTGCCAGACACAGGGTTGGCCAGGAGGAAGTTTCCTGTGGAGAAAAGAGGTGGAGTGGAAGATGCCAGCTGGCAGGCAGAGGTGCCAGTAGGCTTAACCCCAAGAGACATGCCAGGAGTGAGAGCCCTGCTCCCCAAGCCCACTCAGATCCCAAGAAAGCAGGAAGGGTACCTGGAGCAGTGGACGGGGGAAGCTGCAGCGCAGTCACTCCCACACTAGGGTTTATCAGGTGCACATTGGTAGGCCCCGCCGTAGCTGCCACCTTCACAGGACTGCCTGGCCCAGCTGCCAACAGCTGGAGTGGTCCCACAGCCTGAGGCAGGGTTACCACCTGAGAGGTGGGCACCACCTGGGGCAAGTTCAGCAATGGTGAGGTGGGGCTCAGGCCTGTTGGGTACCCAGAAGAAGGGGAGAGTGGTACAACCTGAGGAGCAGCCACAGCTGGCACAGCTCCCGGGGTCAGAGGGAAGGTGGAGGCAGGTGGGGGCCCTGGGACTACTTGGGGCAGGGTTCCTGGGATTTCCTCTCCAGGAGTCCCATGAACCCCTTTGGTCTCAGAGGTTTCAGACTGAGCCTCATCCAGTCGAACCTCTCCTGTCTGAGGGTCCAGGACCAGAGAAGTCTTGGCCTCACTGACCCCTTGGGGACTGGGCTGTGGTTGAGGGGCACCCCCCCCTCCTGTGAGTAGCAGGGGCCCCAAGCCAGAGCCCTCTCCTAGGGCCAAGCTATTGATGATAACTGGGCTGCCGTTGAGGAGCACTGCTGGGGGGCTGCTGGCGGCCAGGAAGCTCCCATTCACTAGGAGAGAGGAGGAGGCAGGGCAGGTCGCTGGAGGGGTGGCCCCCGCCAGGAAGATGGAACTCTGGGTGGGGGCCTCAGCAGCCACAGAGGCCACACCCCTCTCCAGGTCCTCTGGACTGCGGCTGGACTCGTCCTCCGTAGTGGGGTTCCCATCAGACTCGCTGGAAGGAAAACGGGTTAAGTCTTTTTAGGCCTGAAGGCTTCATCGCTTAAGTTGGGCAGAGGCAACCCAAGCTCCGATGAACTATTTTACCCTTCAAAGAACCCGCACAGACCCCAGGGTCTCTACAAGTCCTGCTGGGGTTGACAGCACGGCGGGAATGCTAAGCTGGAGGAAAGCTTTCCCGATGCCTTGGCCTGCAGCCGAGCACCCAGGCTGTCCCAAGTCCCCTGGGTCGGCAGGCGCGTGGCTGCCGAGTGAGGCAGCAGCTTTTACTCCAGTTCTTCCCCCCAGGCGTCACAGACCAGAGCTAGAGGCCTGGCGCTGAGGTGGGAGGGGAAGGGCTTGAGTTACAGGGAAACCGGAGCCGGAGAAGGTTCACGTTTCACAACAAAGACAAGCGACACACCACGCTGTTTGGGCTGGAAGGGGCGTGGGGGTGGGTGTAAATAGTGGTCACGGAGGGGCCAGGTTGCAGAGGCCCCCAAAGCGGGTCCCTACTCGGAGTTCCTTAGACAAAGACCCCATTCCTCTTACCACCGACCCTCCGGGGATACCTCACTTTTCCTACTGCCCACCCCCCTCATTCCTGGCACTGCAGTCCCAACTTAGAAGCAGCTGCTACAAACTCTGCCCGAGGGGCAGTAATGCCCAGAGAACCCAGGGTGTGCCTGGTCTCTCCACGCTCAGCCTGTGCACTCGCCGCCGCCGCCGAGGAGGGGTGTGAAGGGTCACTCGCGCAAACTCCAGCGGCCACCGAGGAAGGAGGGTCGTCCCCTCACCTTTTGCAGGGCGCTCCACCGCCGGTCCCAGTACGGTCGCGCTGTCGCCGGTTCTTGAACCAGTTGCTGACCTGTGTAAGCGAGAGGCCGGTGAGCGTGGCCAGGCGGCGCTTCTCGTCTGGCGTGGGATAGCGGTTGCCGCGATAGCAGGCCTTGAGCGCCGCTCGCGAGCGCTCCTTGAAGCAATAGACGGTCTCCTCGCCATCCCAGATGGTCTTGGGCAGAGGGAACTTCTTGCGCAGCCGGTATTTGTCCACCGCGCCCAGCGCACGGCCACGGGCCCGCTCGGCCTCGTGGTAGCGAGCGCGCAGGTAGAGGTCCTGCAGGAAGGCGTGGTGGGCGGCTGGGAAAGGGCGGCTCTCGAGGAGCTGGTAGAGCTCGGCGTATTCACCCCGCTGGAAGGCCACCAGGGCCCGCGCGCGCAGCACCGGATCGCTGCCACGTAGGCGCTCGGCCGGGGGCAGCGCGCCCAGGAAGCGGCTCAAGCGGCCGGCGTGGCCCGCCTGCAGCAGCGCCTCGCACACGCATGCCACCTGCTCGGCTGAGAAGCGAAGGCCAGTGGGCGCCTCGGTCACGGTCTCCCGGGGAGACCCCGGGCCGCTCGGGGACCCAGAAGCCGCCGCCGCCGCCGCATCTCCCGCCCCGGCCGCCGCCGCCTCCCCCTCGGCTGCCTGCAGAGTCTGCAGAAGCTGGCGCGCTTCCTCCTCCTCCTCCTCGGTCGCCGCCGCCGCCTCCCCCCGAGCCGCCGGCCCCGCGCTCGGCTCGGCAGGCGAGGTAGCCATGTTTTGCAACTTTGGGAAGTTCCTCCCTCCTCTGCCGCCTCCCGCGGGCTTCCCCAGCCCCCTCCCCCGCCCAGCCCTCCTCGCCTACCCCCGTCCCCTCGCGGTCTTCTGGCCCCCTCCCAAAGACTAGACCCAGCTCTGCACTCAGGTCGGTCCCTGTCCCTGTGTGTCCGCCCCCCTCCCCGGCTGTCGGGATTCTTTGTTTTCTCTCGGTCTCTGGTCGCGCTTTCGGCCTCCCCCCCGGGTGTGCCTCTGACTCAGGGCCTCAGTTTCCCTATCAGAGCAAGGAGAAGGTAATGGGCCGTCCAGGAGGGCTAAGGGCGCGAAGCCGCTACGGTCTCCCCGGTCCCTTGAAGGCCCCCTCCCTTCTCATCTCCGCGCCGTGCTCCGCCCCTCGGAATTCCCGGCCCCGCGGGTAGGCGGTGGATCTAGCTGGGAGGAGGGGCGGGGAAACGCGCTAGAAAGTTTGCAGCAACTTTTCTGGATCGTCGGTCCTAAGAGCGGATGCGCGTGGCTTGCGCAGGCGCGCTGCCGGCCCAACCCCCTGCTTTTCCAAGCTTGAGTTGCACAGCTGGGTCACAGCTGGGGGGGAGGGTGGGGGGCGGTGGTGTCGCTGGTGGCTTGTTGCTCCTCTCCTATTGGCTGGATTCCTAAGCTCCACCCTTCAGCCTG